TGGACTGTACTGGACCACAAGGGATCAAGCCATTTCCTGATGCCCAACTTCAGCTGCATCACCAGTGCCTGCACATCTGGTAACAGCGGCTTGCCCCAGCCAGGAACACTGATCCCCTGTAAGTGCTCCATTTGGCTCTGAAGTTCCCTCACTATAGGGATCACCTGGCTAAGGAGGGCATCGCCAGTGCTGAGGGTCTCAGTGGCCTCAAGGAAGGGCTTGAGGGCCACCAAGATCTGGGAGATGGTATCCCACTCATCTCTGTTAAGGGTGCTGCTGAGCCAAATCTCCCCGAGCAAGGCCATCTCACAGACGGCTTTCCGCTGCTCAACCAGCCTTCCAGAATCAGGTATGCTGCAGGATATTCAGCTCTGCTTGTTTGTCCTGCAGCATCTTGCCCCCCTTGATGCTCCGGTGGAAGTAGCCTGCCACCTTCCTGCATTTGGAAATGAGCTTGCTGGTGGCACTGACGCTGTCACCGACAGCCCTATCTCCCTCCAAGGCGTCCCTGACAGTGAGGTGGAACTTGTGTGCCACACAGTGAATGCCAACAAGGTTGGCACCACGGACCACCTTGACCATATTGGCCCCATTGTCGGTGACCATGAACCCACGGGTGAGCTCGCCCTGCCCAGCAAGCCATCCCTGCACCGGCCCCCATGATCTTGGTTGCTGTGTGGGGCTCATCCATCACCTTGGCTTGAAGGAGAGCCCACTGATGACTTGACTGGTTGCACCAGTGCCCTGCGAGGGAGAGGTAGGTATGATCTTCACTCCGGCTGCTCCAGATGTCCGAGGTGAAGTGTAAGGCCACCTGCGGACCTGCCTTGCACAGCTCCTCCCTCAAGTACTCCCTGCATGCCTCATACAGGGAGGGTATCACCATCCTGCAGGAGGTGGTGTGTGTAGGCACTTGGTATGATGCGGCCATGAGCACCGTGAACCCTGGCTGCTCAACTAAGGAGAAGGGCTGGCCATCAACAGCAAGCATCTCCGCAATGCTTTAGGTAATCTTGCTTGGCCTTGCAACATGCCCCCATT